TATAACGAATTATTCGTTATACATTCTGCATAATTCGTTATAGCGTTAACGAAGATTCTTATAATGAAGTCCTGATCAGCTGGATCGGCAACTTCGTTATATTGAGGTGTGACTGTATTACTTTATTTATTTCTTTATCTATTTCTTTAAGGGTATATACTGAAATCTTAAAACAAAATCTAGTAAGACTTATAGCAGACTGACATTTATTACAACAACTTATTACTTCTTTGATATCCTCTGCATTTAGTTTATCAAACACATTACCTAATTCACCCTATGTAAAAAAATCATAAATACAATAGGAGCTAAAATGAGAGCTATTTTTCAAGAAGTTTTTGGAAATAATGAAACACATTTAACAAATATTAGTGAATGATTTAGACTAGCTTAAAGAGGAGAAAGGTCTACAATTAAAATTGATTATTTTTTAGGAGCTAAAAATGAAGATCTAATAGAATAGCTTTCTGCTTTTAAGAAAGTTGCAATCACTAACAGATGGACTATTGAAGCACGAAAAAAGATTATTACTGGAGGATATCTTAAAAATATAGCTGTAGATTAATTTAATAATATAACTACTGCTATAGAAAATAACTGAAATACTAGGTCAAATGGAGAATAAAACTTTGTAGATTTATTTCAAGCTTAATTTATTAGTGAAACTAAGAAAAATCAATGGTATCAAGAATTAATTTTTTTGAGACAACAAACGGACAAATCTATAGATTCCTTTGCTAATAAATTTAAGAAATTAGTGATTCATATAGGGTTAACTGATAACACACAAAAGAAAAGAATATTTCTTATAAGACTTAATCCTGCTTATATCCCCTTAATCTACTTTCAAAATCCAGCTGATTTGAATGCTACTATAACCTCTGCACGAACTATTAAAATTGGATACAATTTTACCTCTAGAAAAGCACCTAAGGATGTTAGTACTACCACAGTTTCTACTCCTAAAAATGTAATTATTAATGCTAAAGTAGATGAACTCACTAAGAAATTGGAATAGTTGTCTATTAACTATACCAATTTGATAACTGCTTTGTTAGCTCAACCTCAATAACTTCTAAAAAAGGTAAAATAAATGAATTTACAATAATACTACAAGAAGACCTAAACAAAATATGCCTCTCATAACTTGTTATAATTGTAATAGAGAAGGACATATAGCTAGAAATTGCTCTTAACTTCATCAATAACCTAAGAAAAATGATAGAAGGCCTTATTATTATGATATAAGGAATGTACATTTAGCTGATCAATATTATGAGAAGAAATATGATGAAGAGTATACTTCAGAAAAGTATTATGATAAAGACAAATACGAAATCTATTTGAATACTAAATTTGGGCCTTATCCAAGAAATACTATTTCTAAAAACAAAAGAACATCTGCAAGGTTTTAAAAGACATCTTAAACTACAATTATTGAAGATTTAGAAATAGAAGTACTTACACCAGAACTAACACCAGAACCAATCAGAACTAAAAAAGCATTAAAAACCCCTAAACAAAGGTTATTGCTTGCTTCTATTAAACAACTAACTGAATTCAACGTTTTTACATATCTGCAAAATTTACTATGTGGATTTTCAGTTGACCAAGCTGCATATACTATTCTTAAATATCATTTTAGTTTAGCTCGAGTTGTCAGACATTTAAGAGAAAGAGCTACTAATGAAACTAAAGAAGCTAATCTAGTAGAAAGTGACAATAAACCAACATCTGTTGTGAAATATACTTTGAGAATTAGACAAAAAGCTCAAACTGCTATCATCGATAGTGGAGCTGCTACTAGTATCATAATTAAAGTCTTAGTAGAAAAGCTAGAATATGAAATAAGTCAATCCTTAAAATGATAATAGTAATAACAAATGATACAAGAATTCATTCCCTTGAAATCATTAATAATATTCAAATAAATATTGGGAAAATTAAAATACTGACATCTTTTCAAATACTTGAATCTAGAGATAAAATCCTTATACTTAGTAATGATTAGTTTAAAATAACTAATGCTACTATGAGCTGGAAACAATCAATTTTTACTATTAAATAGGATGAAATAACTATGAAAATTCCTATTGCTTTCACTAAAACAGCTAAAGTTATAATCCAAGAAGCTGAAGATAAATATGAAAGTAAAGAATATGAGGATGAATACTTGAAAGAATATCCTATATACTTATCTGATAATGTTAAATCTGAAGAATTAGAATTAGATGATAAACTATGATTTAACCCTTGGTCTGACCATTACTTTTCTGTTCAATCAGAAGAAGATACTGATAATAATAACGAATTAGATGAATAAATAGATGATAATCTAGCCACTTATCTTGCTAAAATCACTAGATATTCAGCTAAAACTGATCTAACTCATCTGGAATAACTAAGTCCTCTAGACTACCATCAACAGCAAACATTTCTCAACTTTTTGGAAGATTATTATGATATTTGTGCAAGAAGCCAACAGAAGTAAGATGAACAACAGAAATTAAACATTGCATTTTTACTAAAATAGCTATGCCAATTATCTAAAAACCATATTAAACAAACCCTAAAAATACTAGATTTCTAAATAAGTAATTGAAAAAAATAGAAGCAAATGGTATAATCTGACCCTCTTATAGCTTATGAGCCTCACCTGTAATAATTGTAAAAAAGAAAGGAGAAGTAAGAGATTATATGTTGATTATTGAAAAGTAAATACTATCACAAAAATTGATACATATCCACTATTAAGAATTAATGACTTATTGGATTCATTAGGTAAAGCAAATTGGTTTACTATACTTGATTTAGCTAGTAGTTACTGGCAAGTAGCAATGCATTCTGACAATATTGAGAAAACTACATTCATTACAGCAAATAGACTATACGAATTTTTAGTCATACCTTTTAGATTAAATAATACATCTAAAACATTTTAAAGATTCATGAATTGGGTTCTCAAAGATTTTCTTAAATTATTCATATCGGTTTATCTGAATGATATAATCATTTACACAAAAGGACTTTTTAAATTACATGTTGACTATGTCAAATAAGTATTTCAAGCTTTTAGAGATGTTTACTATAGGTCTAATGACTGTATATCAACAAAAAATCAGAAACCTGATTCTTTATTGATTATTTATTAATTTTTTATGACACTGTCCTAATACTTATTTCTGATTGGTCACAGATTCTTGTAGCATTTCTGGACAAATTCAATAAACTACCAGTAAACTGTATGGTATAAATATCAAATTTAATCAGTAAAGAATTAGATTTCTGATGTATGTTCAATAGCTCTCTTACATACATGTGATTTGACATTTATACTTTTAAACTATCATAAATTATCGTTAACCAATCATACATATATAAGTCAGCGATATCTGATAATTTAACCGATTTGAGACATTATGTCACAAATATCACTCAAATATTAGATATTAATAAAACTGAAATTTACATTATTCTTTATTATATAGCATATATAGTAATATGTATATTTATTTAAATTACATATCTAATTAATATATTAAAATACATTATTGTACCCATAAATCCTAATTAGTAATACTGCTATTCTTACTGATTTATTAATTATCGGTAATACCGCTACTTTGATTAAAATTATCTTTAGAAATATATGTATGTGATATTGTCCACTTCAGAGCATTCTTCAGTGGCTTAGATTTGTCGCATTGTTAGTGATAATCTATTTGCGCAACTAAATGATTGCGTTAACTAACGTCACCAATGATTACCAAGAAAATCGTGATCACTGTTTTTACCAATTTCACTGCTATTACAGCTATTATTGTGATATTCATTTTCATTATTATAACGTTTATCATTATTTTATTTATTATATTTATTTTCATAGCTATATTTATTTTCATTATTATATTTATTATCTCTATCTTATAATTGTATTTTATATAAATATCTTGTATTGTCATCTTGACAAACTAACAAGTTTCAATTATACAATTAATAAAGTATAATCTTAACAACATAAAAACTATATTTTTGTCAATATCTATTTCCTTAAAACATAAATTATCAATAAAGATGACCTGACCCTTCAACTTAAATAAATTCATGTTTATTTCTTTTATAGTCTACAACTTAAACTTCCTATTAGCAAATAAGCTTTGTTATCCTAACGACATAGTGTTTAGGCTTAACAGTATCATCTACTATCTTCATATTAACAGTAACGTGAAATTCTTACGTGACTAATTTTCTCATTAACTTTATCTGCTGTTCAAAGTAAATCGCAAACCTATTTAAATAAAAAGAAATAATAAATCTAATAAATCAATAAGAAATAATGAAAGATATAATTTAAAATATCCAATACTTACATGACGTGACTTCCATAGTTTATTATAAACATGAAGAACATGTTTATCCGTATTCTTTTTATTTTTAGGCTGAATAAATTTCGTAATTTCTTCTTTGGTGAGATTATTATCAGTTTCAGAAATCTTATCGCTATAGTATCCTCCATTCTTAATTAGGGATTTACAATCTTTTTTAAACTTGTTGAGAGATAAAGATGATGGTTTAATTTCTTCAAGTGAATTATTATTTATATTAAACGTATACAATAGTTCTTTATGACGCCGTTCTTTTTTCTATATAGAATAAATAAATATTAGCAATAAAATTATTATCTGATAGGTCATACAGAGAACACTATGCTTATATTACCTCTATGAGAATTGATCTCCTTTCGTCTCTTTTCTGATTTTACTTTATCTAGATTTTGATTTATTTTTTAACTTTCACGACGATGTCAATGTAATTGCTGCAAAACCCATTTTAATTCTACATCTTTGTACTGGAACCTTCCCTCCATAGCTTTATCGATTGCTTTCATTGTATATTTTAAAATATTTCTAGCGATCTCAATCCATTTTTTAGTGTAATCCAGTTAAAGTGAATTATTAAGACTATTAAGGATCTGGACAACTTCGTCCTTAATTTAATTTAAAAAGGAATAAATTAGAACTTCACAATTTTATCAACAAACAGATAATTATCTGATATTTACATGAAATAAATTATATTATTGTTTGTCTATATCTTCAAGCATAACTTGAGCATAACAATAGTAATTACCTTCGGATTCTAGAGATATTGATACATATCTAGGAAGCATTAATTGAACTGAAGGTAATTTTTTTTCAGGTTGGTAGCTAGTTGAGCTAAAAGCTTTAAGAATGTAAACCTCTTAACAAGCGTACTAATGACTTTATTTAAGACTTCGATATTTGAAAAAGATCAAAATTTTAAGAGTATGTAATATTATTAATTCACTTTTATAACTGTTTTTAATATTGAATTAATAGTATCATTATTTTTATTAGTACTTGAACCCTGATAAGTTAACTCTTCTTTTCTTTGACTACATTCTTCTCTACTTCGATTATTTTGTGAATAACTACTTTGTGAATGATGATCTCTTCATGAATAACCTCTTTGACTACCTAGTGAATATGTGTTAGGTGAATGATCTCTTCTAGGTCTTGGAGATTCTCTCAAACTACTTGATGAACATCCTCTTTAGACAGATGATACAGGTGATGAACTATATCTCAATAATCAGATTGTAGAATATCTTAATTCATCCCTTCTTGTAATATGAGATGAATGACAGTATCTTCGTAGTGATATTGTGCAATGATTATATGAATTTAGAGATGCTAAACATCTTTTACATTAATATTAAGTCTTTGATTATACATATTGTTCAAAACAATCAAAATTAATGATAGGTAATAATAGTAAGTTAAAGAATATTAAAAGATAGTGCAAACGTTGAGTTTTTTGGAGAAAAAAATGATGCTTTTATACCTTTATTTCTTTTCCTTACAAATAAAAAAAATGACAAAGGAAGAAAATTATATCAACATGCTACCTATGCTAACTATATATATATATATATATTATTAAACTACTAATCATACTATTAATCATACTTATATACGATAAGAATATAGAAAGTAAAATTCACTATACTTTCATTTTTTTGAGTAATTTGTTGTTTATATATAAAAAATGTAATGGTCACATACGTTCACATGTGTTATGATCCCATGCATTTAACCACATATAGTTTAGTTTTAATTTACAATTAAATTGTTTATATATAAATGTAATATTCATGTATATTACAATCTTATGTATTTAACCACATATGGTTTAGTTTTGATTTTTTTTAATTTACTATTCGTATCCATTTTAGTAATGATTTTTATTTGGTAACAATTACATTATGATCTTTATTTGATTATTAGTTTTTATAATAAATTTATTGAATTTACAATGTTTCCAAAAAACTAAAAAATTTTTTGTAAAGGATTCTAGTAATCCATCCAATTCTTCTATTAGAACAAAGAAAATTCCATATAATTATAATAAATGCAAAGGTCAGATGGTTGATCTACGTACAAAAAAAAGTCATGAATCAAAAAAGGATATTGGGTTAAGAGAAATTATCGATGATATACCTATAGATTTAAATCAGGATTCATTAATATGAGATATATTGATAGATCTTTCAGACGTTATTGACACATCAAGTGATAATTATCAAGAAACTAAACCAGTTCCTTATAAAGAAAATTATTCATTTCTTTTTAAGAAACAATCAAAAAACAATTCGAAAAGAATTAGTAATAATATCTTTAATCCTGTGGTTATTATTGAACAGAATACTTCAGATGATAATAATAATAATAAAAGTGACAGTAGCAAAGTTAATAGTAAAGAATATTAGAATAATAATGATATCAAAAAAAATCATCCAGCAGGTTCGATGTGTCAGAAAATGTATATAATAATGACAATGCTCCAGAAGTACCTATTATCAATTATAGCAAAGACTCTAATTGGATTGTATTATAGATTTTATTATACCAAGAAAGGTACCAACTTTCTGATGTGGTTACTAATTCTTTGGTAACATTTATTAGATATTTTTTGATTCTATTGAATACAAATAAATATACATCTTTTCCTATATTATTATATATGACACGTAAAGAATTTGGTGTTTATGCTTATATTATCAATACGTTGTGTAAAAAATGCTGCAAATTGTATAATATAGTGGAAGTATCAACTGACGAACCTAGTCAAGTTTCAATCACAAGCCAATATACCTATATAGATTTTTTGAATTATCCAATGGTAAATCAAAGAGAAAAATGTGGCTCCAATCTTACCAAGAAAGTTTCTATCACAGGTGAAATAATACATAAACCTTCTATAGTATTTCTAACAGTCAGTTTAAAATATCAATTACAATTAATATACAATCAGAAGAGATTTGAAGAATTATGCAAGAAATGGACCAATCGATATAACGATTCTCAATATCTAAATAATATCTACGATAGAAGAATTTGGAAGGACTTTCAAGATCCAAACTAAGATTTATTATTCTTCTGAAAAGAAATATCAGATCGTCATTTGGATATTATATTGAACCTTGATTAATTCCAACCGTTTAATAATACTAATTACAGTATTAGAGCCATATATAATGTAATCTGTAATCTCTCTCAAAATGAAAGATTTAAGCCATCAAATATTTTAACAATAGCTTTAATTTTTAGTCTAAATGAGCCAAGTCTGCATCATTTAAACTATTACTTAGTTCTAATAATTGATCAATTAATTGAATTATAGAATAGGATAGAGCTATTGGCAACATATGAAAGCTCTAGTGGCAAGATCATTTGAGTCACAGTAATATATTGTTCTTGTGACATTCCTGCTGTAAGAAAATTATATGATCATATATCTGCATACGTGGCTTACCATAAATATTTAAAAAAGGCTCAATATGATAATTATAATCAACCCAATTTCAGAGGATTTTCTGATATTAATGATTGGTTTATTAAAAGGGATATCAGTCAGATTTGAAAAAACGTACACAGATAATTGGATTGCAATATAAAAGATGCTAAAAAAATCCATATTCGCAAAACCTTGATATGTTAGTCTGAAATATACTGCCTCCAGTATTTTGATTCTATATGATTTCTTGTAATAGATCCTATACATTGTTTGTTCTTGGGTATTGCTAAATGAATAGTGATGCAATTATGGATTGAAGAAAGGCAATTAACATAAAAGGATCTGGATATGATACAGAATAGGGCAAAGCAGATAAAGATTCTAGCTGATATCAGTAGAATTCCATATAAAATTTCAACTAAAGAGAGTTTTTCAGATTTTACTGCAGACCAGTAGAAGACTTTTATCTTGATCTATGTCACTTCTATTATATAGAATTTACTTCAAGAAACAGATAGAATGATTCTTGCAAATTTGTCCGTGCGTATAACATTCTTGTATATAGAATGATATCTAAAAATGAATTAAATGAAGCTCACCAGCATCTTTTAACAATGGTAAAGCTTATTGAAGAAAATTATGGACCAGAAAAAATTATGCTGAATTTACATTTATGCTTACATATTTGTCAATGTGTATTAGACTATAATCTACTATATGCATTTTGATGCTTTAGTTATGAACGAATGAATAGTTTATTGGTAAATATATACTCTTATATTTTATTAATTATTATTTAATATACATTGTTATATCATTGAAATATTTTATTTTGTCTTACAGGTTCATATTATACTAGTAATAGAAGAATTGAACTGGAATTATTGAAAATGATTCAGCATAACTCTCTTCTTGATCAGTTTTCATCACACATTCAAGACCATACATATTTATTGGCTTGCTTACCATTAATAATACCTAAAGTAGCTACTGGTAGTCTTGCAGTTTAAGATAAATTTAATAGAATGGACTACCTAGAATTCTTATCAATGTCTAAAAATGTGAAAGAAAGAGCAGAAACAGTTCAGAGTCCTTTCTGGACAATTTTCTTAATCCAAAAAATATAGATATAAACCTTACGAAAGAAACATTAGATTTGTTAGTTGAATATTATTGCAATACTTATAATAAAGATTTTGTAGCTTTGTCTGATATTTATATCGTGCAATCTAATACTATTACAATATTTCTGAAGGTAAGTATTTATGGGAGATTATAACTTGACGCTGAAGTTTTTAGATCAACATATTCAAAAAAACATATCAATTCAGCTAAGATATTATCACAATTTATCAATGGTGTTAGTAATAATCCATTTGCGCAACTAAATGACTGTGCTAACTAATGTCACCAATGATCACCAGGAAAATCGTGATCACTGTTTTCACCAATTTCACTGCTATCACAGCTATCATTTTGATATTCATTTTCATTATTATAATGTTTATCATTATTTTATTTATTATATTTATTATCATAGTTATATTTACTTTC